CTGTGTTCACAGCCAGGCTGCCACCGAACCGAACTTTCGGACAACTCCAGCGCCCCACAAGACGTTTTACTTCCCAAGAGTCTATAATATTGTTTCAGTTTTGTTTTCCAGCTTACACTCATGCCTTCCACGTTTTCCTCACACTAGCTTTTCCTCCCTGGTTCCCTTTCTCATCCATCAGGCTAGCCTCCGGAGGATCATCTGCTATTAAATACACCGCTGTCAGCGCCTTGCTTGTTAACTTCATTTCTTATTACTGTCATTTATGTTCTCACCTCTAGCACACGCCTCACGAAATGTAGCTCCCTCAGAAAGTGCCTGTGGGCTCGTGCCTTCCACGGGCACGGGGGCTGTGGGCATGGAGCCGTATAGAGTGCAAGCCCCTCAGGGCACAGCCCTATCCCCCGGGAGCCCCAGGAGCTTCTTACCGAGTGCCACTTCCCTGGGCCACACCTGCTATCTGTGGCCCCACAGTGGCTGTCCTGGAAGCCTGAGCTCAGCAGAGCCCTTTCTAGGCAGTCAGGCCGGGACTGATGGTCAGCTGACTAACCTAAAGGGCTACGCAGAGCGGAGGCCTCTCAGGGTGATACATGCACCCCAGAAACCCATTATTTTGATTTTAAATATGGTATGAGCACCTGTTCACCAGACCTGTGATCTGGGCTAGGGTCTTCCCTTTGGTGATGGGTCTGTTTGGTGTATTATTTGCTTCTACTCCATAGACACTGCAGCCTTTGTGGCTTCCAGTTTGGATTCCTTTATAGAAGAGTGAACCATGGGAAGAAACTTGAGTGTAAAATGCTCTTAGACTTTTGATTCTCCTCACTACCTTAGACTACTTTGCCTGACCTGACTAGGCTGCAGTGTGGGCCTCCCTACTCTTCTTCACCATGTCTTTCCAGAGCCTTCACGTGGGGTTTCATAGAACCCACTCTGCCTGCCTATAGCCACATGCATTATGCAGATACAGTAGTAGCTCGACCTGGCCTCACCCAGTGTGGAAGGCACCCCAGGGCGCTGGCTGGCGTTCAGCCCCCTGGGGAATGTGGTAATCGGCGGCAGGCCTGAAAAGCCACAGGGTGGCCATGACCCAGAAGTAAACCTGCCTACAGAGTAAAAATGCCAACTCTTCTAGTGTGTTCGAGATGAAGGGATTGGCGAGGAAATAAAAGGGACAAGCAGAAAGGGAAGGAAAGGGCGGGGCACTGAAGTTGATTCAGATACGTCCAGTGCACGTACATCTTCCAAACATAAACCCACCATCATGCAACATTAACACATACTAGCAAAATGTTTATTTATAAAAAAGCAGTCCTCGACCCTAGCAGCAACCCTTCTGCTTCTGTCAAGTCTAAGGCAGGGTAGAGACCGGCTTTGGCCCTGTATTTCTTCATCTTCTGGAAAGTCACAAAGGTGCATGTGCTCTCTCTCATTGGAGTCATGGTGTGACCAGAGAGCAGAGCAAGGGGCTCTGCCCCTGGGAAGCGGGGCAGGCAGCTGCCAGTCAGGATCTCCACTTGGGAGGAAAGAAAGGGAAGTGGGCAACCTGGCCTGGGGCCCCAGAGGAGCCTTCTCAGAACCCCTGTGGAGTTCCTGAATTCTCCCTCAGGTCTGTCTACAGATCCCTGCGGGCCTACCCTGCCTCGACGCTCCACTGCCAGACAGAGAAGGGGGCATCGGAGCAAAAGAGCTAGGGTTGGCCTTTGCAGGCCTCTGGAAGGGTAGGGGGGAGCCAGGAAAGGGCCTGAGACTCAGAAATGTGCTCACTGTCACGTGGTCCCTTGGGAGATGAGGCCACCCCTGGCTTCCTGTTTCAGGCCCTTGGCCTCTTAATGCCCTCAGATTACAGGGTCTGGACTGTGTGGAAGGAACCCAATTTAGGGGCTCTGTGTTTAGGAAGCCCCACTTCTCACGCACCGTGAAGACAGTGCACAGAGTGGGAGCTGGAGTAGCCTCTCCCGAGGCAGTGAGGAGGCAGGTCCCTGTCGCACACTCCTGCATGTGAGCAGCAGCCCTGGGAAGGAGGGTTCACACCAGGGCTGTGCACCAGGCACAGAAGCAGGACACAAGCAGGCCAGTCCGGTCCAGACAGAACAGAAGAGATGACCTGAACCCATCGCCTGCCAAAACCTCACCTGGGGCAGAGTGGGGCTTCCTGCCTGGCCGTGATGCTGTGGACTCCAGGCCTGGGAGCCTGCAGCCTGGGTGGGGCTGGGCTCTGAGGATCTTAGACGGTTCTACTTGGTACCGAAGGATGACAGGTGGGTACCAGGCGAGTGGAAACTGGGGGGCCCAGAGGAAAACCTATCTGTGTTTGTTAGTTATGGCAGCGGACAAGTTGGTCTGTTCAGGGCACGGAGCTTGGGGGACTCCAAGGTCCCCCAAGGGACCTTGGTTTGGTTAGGGAGCTGGAAACCGAAACTCTGAGAGCAAGGATTTCTCTTATAAGAGTTTTCAGTGGCAGTGACCTCATCAGATTGGGTTAAAAATAGCCCTGCTGGCAGGAAGGAGGCTGGATTCCAGAGGCAGAAAAGCCAGGCTGAGAGACCCGCTGCCTGTTCCTGGCGGAGAAGCAGTCCAAGCTAAGTAGAGGCCCTGCTGAGGAGCTGCTGCAGGCCTGGCCTGCCCCCTCTGCAGATGTCTCCGCACCTGCTGGGCACCAGTGAGAATGCACAGGTGTGAAACCCCGAAGGTCCGGACAGGCAGGAGGGAACTGTCCTTGGGGTTTCCACAGTTAATACAGGGTGCTGGGGAGCAGGCATGGAAGAAACAAATGAGGCTGAGAGCACAGGCCCGGAACCACAGGAAGCTGTCACTGGCCTGAGAGCTGGAGGGAGAGGAGAGGAGGGAGGAGGAAGGGACAGGACCTGGACAGCGCCCCTAGAGCTCGCCCTCCGGCCCAGTGTGGGCAGAGCCGCGGTCTGTGGACTCCCAGCCCTGCGTCACAGAGCGAAGGGCAGAGCTGGCGACCTTGGGCCAAAGGGCAGGCTGCCCTCATTAAACAGACTGAGGTGGCAAGATAGAGAGGGGGGTCAGGTGCACCTTGTGGGGACGTGGCAGAGCCCGGGAGAAGACCTCTCTAGGAAGAAGCTGAGTCGGGAAGCCTTGGTGAAGACGGGAAGGAGTCTGGAGAGGATGAGCAGCCGGCAGTTAGCCTTGGTGCCCAGCAGTATCCACTCATTTAATCCTGCTGGGGGGACCTGCCGTGGCTGCCTGCCTCTCCTTTTCAAGAATGTGTCTTGTTCCCATGCCCAGTAGAATGGCACCTTTAATAGGAAAGTGTTGTGGCTTCTACCTTTCACTAGTTTTGTTGGAGGATGCCGTTGAATTTCCTAATTTCTGATAGAAGCTAGTGTGGGACATCTCTTTACTAGACCTAAGGACACGTGTCTTCACCTTAGCCACGCGGCCTTGTGCTGTTCCACACGGGTTCATGGCTCTCGGGGATAGAGGACAGGAGGCCAACGTTAAACCTGTGTGTGGCCGCCGAGTCCCCTCTATTTCAGACTGCTAAACAAATACAGCTGCACAGCAGACCAAGCTGGCGAGGCAGTGTGCCCTGTGTTAGGAAAGCCCAGGAGGGCTATTTGAAAGCCAGATTTTAAATGTGACATGTTCATGCACAGCCACCGTTCCTTCATTCTGGAGCACATAAATTTCCCAGCGTTTGACCATATTCACCCACGTTAGTGCAGAAGATTTGAACAGCCTGGTTGCTGCCCGCTCCAATCCGCACTACCGCTGCCAATAGGCGGCGCTTTCTGTCAAAGCCTCGTCCTGCTGCTCCTCCTCGCTCAGCTCCAAGGCCCCCACTGGCTCCCAGGTGACTCCAGAATTAGGAATTGACTTCTACCCCAGAGCCTTATAGGTTTGTTCTTCTGAAACACATGGTGCACACGCGCCTGTTCACCAGCCTGCATGCTGACCTGCAATCCAGCCCCTGAAAGTTACCAGTCTTCAAGACCCCCTCGCACATCATCTTCTTCCTGGTGTTTTGTGGCTCCAGGTGCGTGCACTGCTTGGAAGCTAATGTAGCATCGTGCTTGGCCGTGTGGCTGTGTACAGGTGGCTGCACAGGGAGTCTTTGTCCTCTCCTGTCCCTATGTCGTTGCCTGCAGCGGGAGAGCTCAGAGCCTGGAGCGCACGAAGCATAGGTTCCTTGCCTCTGCGCACTCTGTCTTAAAGCATCAGAGTGAGGTCCTGGGTGTCGCCATTGGACAGGTGGCCTCTGGCAGAAGCAAACTGAGGGTGCGGGGAGAGGCCACTTATGGACAGTGAGCCTGGCAGTGCACTCTGTTAACATGACTTTCCCAAAGTTTGTTTAGGCAGCACCTCAGCTGTCAAGTTCCCCCCAAAATATTCTGGAGTTTTTGCAAAGCATGTGGACTCCTTGGAACGGTAAAGCGTAGCTAGCACACGCTCAGTGTCCAGTGCCGCTGAGGGTGAAACACTGCGAAGTTCTGGGTTGAAGAGTTGAATGACTTGAACGCAGGGCTTCTCAGGGCCTTCCAGAAGCACAGTGGTGCCTATGGCAGAGGACCAAGCCACGAACACGTGCGGGCGTTTCCCCATCTTATTTGCAGGACTGAAGCTTGGAGGCATGTGCCTGGGGGTCTGATGTTTTCTTACGGACCTCTGTGCCACGGGAAGCCGTGGACGGCAGGCCCGCTGCTGCCTGCAGACCTGAGGAGTGGGGCCACAGAAGCCAGGTCTAACAGCAGGGGTGCTATCTCCCAGATGCTATTTTTTCTCAAAATAAAAATAAAAATAAATGAAAATAAATGCACTGTGCAGAACAGCGCGGGAAATGGGGCATAACGAGGCTTCTGGGGGAGAGGCATCCTCTCAGAGCCATCCTTTTCAACAGTGTGTTTAGCAGTCATGGCTTGACAGATTAAATTACAGACGTTCCACACTGATCATTAAAGCTTATGTGTAATTAGCTTAATTAGACACAAGCCACACAAGATGTCCCAGATAACTCTGGCTCTGTTTTCCAGTTCTTCCCACAAAGGCCGCTTTCCACCAATCCCGCCTGCGTGACTCCCCACGGCACGGTTCTGCACCAGACCCTGGATTTCGATGAGTTCATCCCCCCGCTGCCGCCTCCGCCCTACTACCCACCAGAGTACACCTGCACGCCCTCGGCGGAGGCCCCGAGGTTGGTCCGCCCGGGAGGCCCTGAAGTGTGCTGTGTCCCAGGCACCGTGACTTTGGGCAGCCCATTAAGATGGTCTGCTCCCCTTCATGGGGCAGGTTAGGCAGAGAGCTCTGAGACAGCTCAGGAAGGCGTGCTTGATAGGGGACATGGAAGGAGGCAGGAAGGACGGGGGCTTCAGCACAAGACTTCTTTCGGTATCCTTGCAGTGGCAGCAGGGAGGAAACGCCGGCAGAGGAGCGGCTGGATCGTGCTCCTGTGGTCCGCAGTCAGCTATGAAATGACAGTCATGGAGAGAACATGTCAAATTTCATTCAAACTATTTCTTCAGCTCTATGATTATTGTAATTTAAATGGACAGGGTCATAGAGTTTGTTGAAAATGTGAACATCTTTCCAGAGCAGAAACAAAAGCTAAAATTGCCCGGCAAGTCAGGCTTTTATTTCTCAAACATGATAAGTTTTGGATGACGGGAAAGCCTGACAGCTGATGTTCTGATTGCTTTGAGAGAAATGTCAGTGGCTCAGGCTGCTTCCTGAGGCAACAACAGCGTGACAAACGGTTCTGCCTTTCCAGGGGCCTCCACCTGGACTTTGCTGCCTCCCCATTCAGCACTCTGTATGATGTCGCTATCAACAGCCCGGGCATGCTGTACCCTGCAGAGCTCCCGCCACCATACGAGGCCGTGGTGGGCCAGACCCCGACCAGCCAGGTGAGGTCCGGGCCCCAGACAGGCCAGTGCCTGTGACTGCCGTGTCCCGAGCCCTACTGTGTCCATCCACATCAGTGTAAGCCTTTCAGGGTCTTGGTGGTCTTAGTCACTTTTTTCATCTCTGAGACACAGTGCCGGGCACCCCAACTTAAAGGAGGAGAGATTTATTTTAGCTCAGAGGGACAGAGCAGAAGAAAGCTGCTTGGGTCCTGGTGACCAGGAGACATTCGGGGTATCATATCTTCCAGGCCATGCCCCCAGTCACCTGCCCCTCCAGACCAGACCCACCCCCAAATGCCTCCTCACAGCGAGTCCACAAGGGCACCCCACAATCCAGTCACCTTCCCAGAGTTCTGCCTCCCAGTTCCTGAGAGCTTTGGGGGCTGTTGCTGATCTCAAGCGTAACATTGGTCCCATTAGCCTGTTCTGTAGAGGAAGCATTGGTGTCAGAGAGTGGGACCTGCAGACTCCTACCTGGGCCCAGGAGACCTGCCTCTTGAGCCTTCTCCTAACTACTCGATGAGGTTACTGTGGCCACGTATCATAACTCAGATGTGTGTGGGCTCAGTCTGGGCTGTTGTGTCTGAGCCTGGGACCGGATCTGGGATAGGGTCTACCCACTGGCCAAGACCCTACCCCTGCAGACCCCGCATCCAGGCTCACGACACTGTGGCCGTATCCAAGAAGTTGTACACCCCCTGGTCCAAGGCCAAGAAGCTACAGGCCAGGGAAGTACCTCCACCCAGGTACTTGGGGCCATCTCTGAGGTGGGCATGCCTGGCACCTCACAGTATCCCATGAATACCAAGCTCTTGGAATACGTTTGAGAAGCCTCAGTTTCTTCATCTGTAAAGTGGGGATCATGACAGTACCAGAGTCATAGGATGGGACATGGACCACAGTAAGTACTGAATCCATCCTGTCACTAATCCTTTTGGGGGCAGCATTTCCAACCTTACTATCATCACTGTTGTTTTCCTTATGGAGTTGGATGGACCCTGGCCAGAATGAAGGGTTGGGACACTGGAACACCTGAATACAAGTCTGGGGCCAGGGAAGCCTGGGAGGCTGTTAGGAGGCCACAGGGAGTGGGATGGGGGTGGGGCAGAAGAGTGGGAGCGAGTGGGGCTGTGCTGAGCGCTGGCTCTGAGCACACAGGCAGAGGAGGTGGGAAAAGCTGCCGGACGCATCCCAGGCTGTTTCGAGCACATCCAGAGCACACTCCACCTTGGGCTTCTCTGTAGCCATGGAACCTCCGTCCAGACAGGTGTCCTTCTCCTGCTTGCCGGTCATCATACCAGGCCAGCCACTCCCCACCCTATAGACTCCTGAGGCACAGACCTCCTGGGATCACTTAAAGCTCTCATCTCGGCACCCTGGACATCCTGGGGACGCATACGCCCATGGGATGGGAGGCAGTGCCTTACCCCAGCCCCTGTTGGGGGCACCGACTCTGAGGAACCTCTGTGGGTAACTAAATATCTTCCTGTTGGCTGAGCCTCCTCAGACTCACAAGCCTGAAAGATGGGGACATCTGTGGGGACAGATCCCACCTGCAGGCCAGGAAGCGGGGGACAGCAGGAAAAACAAGCTGTGCCTGCTCTGTGTCCAACAGCAATGTGTGTGTAGGTTTGGACCCGTCGGGCTCAGTGGGTCCGAGGAGGAAATGCATGGCACAGAGACTGTCCTTTAGGGTGGCCTGCAGAAGCCGGCTTAGGCCCAGGCCTCCTCCTGAGTGCTGAGTGCCCCCCCAGAACAAGCTGATGGTGCCACGTGGTTCCTGTAGGCTGCACTGTAGCCTCTGACTGGCGAAGGGCCTCACCCTTTTCTATGTGCATAGTAGAAGTAGCTGGCTGCGAGCTGCCTGCTGCTTTATGGAAGAGGCAAAGGGTGACCCTGAATTTCATTTCTAAGTGTTAATAAGAGAGATTCTCTTGGATTTTTTTAAAAGCTGAACAGACCTCTGGTTTCCTGATGTGCCTTATCTTTCTTTTATAATAAATAATTTAAATCAGTCTTAGCAGGACCATCGGCTATGATAAACCTTCAGGGCTCTGTGGGGCACTGGTTAGGGGCACCTGGCCTGTACTGGGGCTTCTAGGGAGGATCCAAGACCAAGAAGCTGGAGAAAGAGGCTGTGTGGGTGTGGGGGCTGCCACTGGGAGAGAGAAAACTTGTGCAAAACCTCAGGGGAACAGAGGAAAGGACAGAACGACTATCCATGAAATAGAAGCCGCCTCAGGGTGGGCATCAGATGTGTGTGACTGGTGGAGGTGACCCGTCCAGGTGTGAGCCGCTGGATTCCAGGGTCGCCAGGGTGGCTGAGTGGGCACCTACTGGGCAGTAGGATCTGTCATTTTGGAGGTCAGAGGGAGCAAGGTTAGCCACAGAGGCAGTCACTTAAGCCTGGAAATCCAGAGGGGCAGCAGGAGGAGAGAGGTCCAAAGAAGGGTCACTGTCTATACCACAGGCTTCAGAGCACTGGGTAGGACCCCCAGAAAGCCTGGATTTGCAGAAGGGCACAGTTCAGAAAGGAAGGGATCTAGGCAGTGCTGCCTGGAAGCCGTGAAGGCCTGAGCCGCATATCTTACTGCAGAGCAGCAGCTGGGGACTTCAGCAGAAGCAGCTTAGATGGGATGTGGGGTAGGAGCCCAACTGCACTCTTCAGAGGAGCAGCCAGGGCATGAAGTGGCATAGCAGGTGTGGGTAGTGAGTCTGCGATTCTGGTACAACCTCATCCCCAATGGCTTGCCGCCAAATCACAGTGGCAGGGCCTGCCCTCTTCCTGGGGTTTCCAAGTCAGCAGTTGCTAGGGCAGGATAGCATGCTAAGAATTTGCATTCCAAAGCCTGTGCTGCTGCAGGGACCCATGCTGACATCCACCCTAGGTCCCTCTAAGATGCATGGTAAAGAGGAGAAAAGATAGTGGTCACTGGAGGATGTCTTAAGGCCTCTAGGACATGGAAGGACCCAGAGGACAGAGTAGCAGAGCCAGGGCAGGGGGCCTGGGAACACCAGAAGGCCCCAGATGTGTGACTGTCCTTCTCACCTGCCTTGGGGAGTGGAACATAGCGATCTCCTAACTCCTTGCCACACCTGCCTGTGCCTCTCCGGAATCCCAGCCCTACGCCCCACTTCCCTGTCCTGCATTGGTGAGCTGTCACTTCTGTTCCAGAAGAGACAACTGGTAGAAAGACTCCTGACTCAGTGTCCTCCACACAGGACCAGGGATGCTGCACCCCAGACCCTCTGTTTCCAGCCACGGCCCCCACTTCTGGCTTTTCAAGGCCCTGGGATGCTGGCGGGAGCTTCTGGATTTAAGGGTGACTTTTAGTGCATCCCCCCCAGCCTGTGCATGGAGAAGATTTTGATTTGTATTTTATCACAATTTTACTCTTCCTTAGGAGAATAGAATTTACTGGAGGATAAAAACACTGCTTCTAAGAGCAATAGGACACTGTTGTTAGGACTGGAACGCTCTACCCTGAGATTCCTTTCGTGGTCCTTTGGTCCAGAGAGCTTTACAGTGAAGGCGTTGATTCACAGAAGCTTATGTGAGCTCAGAACCTCCAGCTCAGGAGTGTGCACACAAGCACAGCCCGGACCAGCACGTCTGCCACTGGCCTCTCCCTGGGGAGTACTGCAGCATCTGGTGATTAAGGGACCGCCTGCAGCCCACAGGCCAATTCTCTCTGACCCAGGCCTAGGAGCACTTTTGAATCTCACAGATGTCTCCAGGAACCTGGAAGTCAATGAAACCCATTACCCCCGTGGAGGGATGCCAGCTGTCCCCTCCTCCATGGGGCTGACTCCCCTGACTAGACAGGAGGAGCTGTCCCGCTCCCAGCAGGAGCCTGCTCCCTGAGGGAGGCCAGAGGTTAATTGCTTCCCCTTGTTAGGACAAATACCACCTAAATCACCTCTCACCACTCATTTAGATAACGAGGAAGGCAGGGGCAGCTGGAGAGAAGCGTGGTCTGTGGTCCGTGCTGGCTCCAGACAGGGGAGGGAGATGGATGCTCATGGGAGACCTGTGTTTTTATTTTTGAGACAGGGCCTGTGTTGATCAGGCTGGCCCTGACAGCCTCGGGCTGAGGCAACACTTGAGGTGGACCAGGCGATCCTGGGCTCACTGCGATCTCCAAGGGCTACCGCACCAAGAATTGGGCAGAATCCCCTCTCTCATGGAACCAACTGTCTGGTGTTGGACAGGGACAGGACAAAGACAAATAAACTTCTCAGGGGCTTCAGGGGAAGACCTGAGCCCTGCAGATGGGTCGAGCTGGGGCACTTGTGAATGAGGGGTGGTCTTCGAAGTGTCAGGCACAGCAGCTCAGAGGGGGACATCAGAGCTTGGCAGGGAGCTCTGGGTGCACGGAGTCACCAGGGTGGTCTGAGTACAGACCTCTCTGACCTTGGGTGCCAGATCTTTGAGGAGTCTGGTGTCTGGGTTGAATGGCCCAGTGGTGCTTTGGGAATTCTATCTGGTGGCAGTTGGTAAACAGGGAAGTCTGCACAGGAGGCTAGAAGTTGTGTGACAGGAAGCGGACACGGCACAGCACCACCAGTGCTAGGCCCTGAAACTTATTATTTATGCATTCTAAGGAAATGGCCTGAACATTTTAAGGCAGTAATGGAAGTGTTTTCAGAGATGGTCCTGAGGAGCTGGGGATATAGCTCAGTGGCACGAGTGCCTGCCTGGCAAGTGCAAAGTCCTGAGTTCGATTTCCACTACCAAAAACAAAAAAAGACTAGAGGTTTTTAGGGCCAGCCTGATAGCTCAGCAGACTGAAGCACCTGCTTAGGCATAGCACAGGGCATGCTGGCCCCGCCTGTGGGGTGCGCTGAGATGGTAACTGATACTGGGCATGATGGCGTATGCCTAAAATCCCAGCTCTTGGGAGGCTATAAACAGGAGAGTTACTACGAGTCCGATCTATATAGTGAGACCCTGTAGAAGCTGTAGACCCTGCCCTAAAAATAGAGGAAGAAAAAGAAAAGGTGGCTCTGGGCATGTAGCTCACATTTTTTGCAATAGCTGACTGCCCCTAAATAACAGTTCTTCCTAATTCTGGAACTAGATGGTTCACTTCACCCAGGAGTGAGGAACTTATTATAGAAATAGGGCAGAATTTCTCTGCAGAGTTAGCCAGGAAGCTTTCTAATGCAAGATAAGGAGTGATCTGGCTGATTTGCCTAATTGCCAATTGATCTTTCAATTACAGTGATTGGTCAAAATAGCATATCTGAGACTGGGAGTCCCAGGTTAACCTGCTTGAGCAGCCTCTCTTTGCAAAAGCCCCCTTCCTCCCTCCCTTCCTCCCTCTCCAAGGAGCTTTGTTTCTGAGCCCATATCACTGAACTTGACTTCCAGCTCAAAATCCATGTTACAAATGTTTTTCCTCTCCACCCTCCTCTGCTGCCTTCATAGCTTGTGACGGTGCTGCCTGAACAGAAAGGCCCTCTTTCCCACCACTTTTGTGACACGGGAGAAGGCCACATCTGAAGGAGGCCCTCGCCACCGGCTTGTGAGGTGTGGTAGATGTGCTCCCAGGAGCTGTCTCCTCTCAAACCCAAGTGTTCCGGCTCTTGAATCCAGGGAGCCAGCGGGAAGAAAGCGATGCTTCCACGGAACACAAAAGGAATCCAATTTCTTCCTGACCTTGTCCTACTGTGTATTTTATTTCTTGTGTTTTATTTATATTTTTTTATTACCAGAAGCTTTTTACCCCCAAGCAGCAGGTTTCTAAGTTGCTACTTATCTCCACGCCCCGCCCCCCAAAAAGAAGTCAAGTAGAAGATGAGATGTGGGCAGAGCACTAGGAAACGCAGCAGGCCTTCAGGGCATTGCGATGTAGTGGAAGATTCTTGGCAGAGATTTCCAGAGTTGGTTATTGACACATAGTGATTACAGGTGGGGGGGAATGACTGTGGTGGTGTGAGCGCTTCCTGCGCTGGTTCCCTCCCCAGCCGTATGACAGCGCTAAGGAAGGAAAGCAGCAAGCGCTGTGTTTTAGTTAAGAGTATGAGGGGAACACTCCACCTCACCCCCCAGCACAGGGAGCAGCTCCTGCCCTTTGTGTTGGTTCAGTGGCTGCCGCCACCTGCCTCAGCGCCAACCTGGCTGAAGGAGGCCAGTTGAAGAATATCAGCTATCTGATTGAAGCCATGGGAGCCCGGGGAGGCAGAAATGTAATTACCTGAGCTGGAATCAGACCAAGCCGCAGGGGCTGGCCTCGCTTTCTCCAGCCTCCTCCGGAGCTCGTTATTTGCCAGCGTGTCCCCAAAGCAACTGTGAAGTAACACAAGGAATCTGAAATGATTTTCCGAGCTAGCACAGGGGTGCGAGGCGGCACTCATGTGACGTGTGAATAGCGTTCAGCGAGGCACAGGGACAAGGATGCCCCGAGGCAGGGATGGAACAGGCGGGAGCAGTGGGCACAGAAGGCAGGCAGGGTGAGAAGCGACAGGAGAGCCAGGGCCCAGCCTCTGCCCCGTGCGTTCCCGCAGGCTTCCTGGGTAGAACAGGAGCCGCTGAGAGGATCGCGGCACGGCCCGGATGCCCCTTGAGTGGAAGCAGGCTCCACAGCTCACCCTTAACGGGACAGGAAGGCACTAGGCGCTGCTGTGTCTGTTGCGCGTCGGGGCCGGGACTCAGACAGACACTCCTCTGTGCGGACCTGGGAGCTGAACTCAAGTTTGGGCGAGGACCAACAGGAAGTTTCTCGAGGACCAACAGGTCTTTCTCCCCCGAGAAAGACCAACAGGAAGTGGCACAAGCGTACTTGAGAGAATTTGGGAGCTCACCCGGGCTGTGCCCATTGATCAGCTGCCAGTTCCATGTCCCACCTACGCTGATGTGACGCTCCCAGGTCACGTGACCATTTGCCTTGCGGACTTATTCTTGCAGGAATGCAATCCAGGCTGAAAGAGTGGGTGGGGGAAGAGATGGAGGTGAAAGCAGGCTATGCTGTGTTCCGCGGCTCGACTCTGTGCGGTCTTGCTCAGTCCCCAGCATGCTCAGCAGAGCAAGTTCAGTGCGTGCCAGGGCTCTGGAAGGTGCTTTGATCGCAAGAGGGCAGAGAAATGGGCTTCGACGTTGGCAAGGGGGACCTCTACTCTTTCACTCTAATTGAATGGAAAATAGTGGAAACATGCATGTGTGTCTCTTAAAACTTCCTCAAAGATGAGCTGTTAAACCAGCCTGTCCAGTCATCTCTTGTTATCCACACAGGATTTGTTTCAGGATTCCCTCGCATACCCATATCCGCAGGCACTTAGATCCCTGATATAACGAGGTGTGCTATTTGTATGGGGTAGGATGCACGCAGCATCAATCAGCACCTTTCAGTCATGGCTAGCTTACCTACAGCAGCCTTCGTTCGCATGGATTCAGCATAGTACTTGGTACGTGGAAATTTAAGTTTCATTTTTTAGAACTTTTTGGAATTTCCCCCCAAAACTTTTCAATCTGCAGTTGGCCGAGTCCATGGAGTGTGAGGATCCCCAGGGCCAACTGCACTCGGGAGCTGCTGTGCTGTTCCTGGGCCCCCCAGTGATCTGCCTTGATGCTTTCTGTTGCTTGTTGCAGGTGACAAGTATGGACCACCAGGTAGCAGAGCCCAGCTCTGGGGACCCAGCCACCACCGCTGGCTTCAGCACACCAGGTAATTGTATCTCCCTCGGGATTTGAAGCACCAAGTTTATAATTTTTAAGGATGTCTCTTTTCTCCCTGCTCTTCTCTCCCCTACCCTACATTTCTGACTCTTACTGAGGGTGGGGTTTTACATTCTTTCCAGCAAGTATCACAAACGTTCCCCCTAGGTCTTCTCAGACCTACTTGGGTCAGCAATGCCAGGAGACCTCCAGCTGTCTCTGTGGGAGGGGCTTCCCTCTGTCCCCTCAGTGCCTTTCTCTCTCACTTGAGGAATATGGATTGAAATAACAACCACTACTCAGTTTGAAGCCCGCCTTCTCAGGAGCAGGCATTGCATATCCTGAGAGTCCCAGACTTACAATAGTTTGACTTACACTTTTCCATAGGAACAGCCTGAAAGTATGTTCCAAGGGCACTTAGTATAAGCTATGCTTCCAATGATGAATTTTGATCTTTTCAGCAAATCACGAGACGTACCATGCTTTATTATAAAATAAACTTTGGGTTGAACCATAGGCTAATAGGTAAGTGTTCTGAGCACATTTAAGCTGGGCTAGACTTAGGTTCAGTGGGCAAGGTATAGTAAGTGTATTCATAACCTAACCATGTTTACAACTCAGAACAAGCTCACTGGGATGGTACCCGCTGTAAACTGAGGGAACGTTGTGCCAGGCTGATGCCTATTAGCTCCGTCCTTGGAATGATGTGGGCTGGTCGGAGGCTTCTGAGGGAGAAGCTGGGTAGGGGCAAGGCTGGAAGTCACGTGCTTGGAAGTAGTGACGGACAGACGCGCAAGGGCAGAGTGCTGTGTTGGAGCCGCAGCAGAGCTGGGGGTGGGGAAGGTCCGCAGCATGGGGAAAACAACTGACCTCAGTGGCAGAGGCAGCAAATGGGCAGGGGCTGGGCATTCCCAGCCAGCCACCTTCTTGGGGCCCCCAGATGGTACCGTGGGGGCAGATTTTTTGACTCATGACATCCCACAGCAGACCATGAGTTCAGTCCTGGGCTGTCTGTCTTCCCCTCGTTCATGGCCACACCACGGCCAATTCGTGGAAACAGGAGGAAGCACAGGTCCCTGCAGGTGTGGGATTCACAGGTGGCTTTGTCCTTCCAATGTCACTCCAAGGACCCATTGTAAGATTCCCTGGAGGTGGCATTCCATGCCTTTCCCGGGGTTGTCCCTGGGCCCAGAGTGGCCCAGCTCCCCCCACAGTGTGACCACGCCGTCTCTGCTGGCCGCGAGACACCTGATAACTGCACATTCTTAGAGGAAGCATGATTGAAAAGGCACAGCTGGTGCCACTGGAGGCCCACTCTGTCTCCCGCCTTAGGGCAGGTAGCGATGGGCCTGGGACCTGGGGTGCTCCTCCGCAGCCAGGCTGGGCCCTCAGCACCACCTAGGACCTGGGCGGTAAATTCTGGCGCTTGACCCACATATAAGGGGGGACTCTCGGCACCAGACCGTGGGGAAGGTGCCCAGCTCAAGAATCTATGCGGACTTCTCACAGGGGCTCACAGGAGAGCAAGCCCAGTAGCCTTAACTACAGAAAAGATACCTCTCAGCGAGGAGATGACTGCCTCCAGGGTAGCTGGGTGAGAGTTGTGCTGTTCGTTCACTTCTTTGTTTGTTGCGTCCTGCAAGCATCCTGTTGCTCTAGGCCACTTCTTACTTGTTCCTTAGTTTAAAACCAGTGTTCATAATTGCATGATTCGCTTCTGGGTTCTCTGCGCTGTTCCTGGGGGCTGTCTGTGTGTCCTCTGCCGGCATCACGCTGCCTTCGTAACCACAGCTCGGGACTGAGCTGTACCATCTGGAAGAATAACGACCCCCAATTTGTCCTTCAAGACTGATACAGCAGTTCAGGGCCTGGGCCTTTCCTTATACATTTTGGAGTCAGATTATCTGTGTGTTCAGAAACGCTTGCAGGGATTTTAGTAAGAACTGCATTAAGCCCATAGTAAGAGCTGCAGTTTAGAGGGACTTGGTGTCTCCTCTATGCCGACCAGTCAAGCGCATGAGAAAACACGTCTCTGCATTCACAGGAGCATAGTCATCCTCACTGTAATCTGCAGCATGCACGTCCTGTCCATGTTCCCTTAACTGTATGGCCGTCCCTGGGTATCTGTGGGCATTAGCTCCATGGCTTCTTAGATACCAAGGATGCACAAGTCCTTTAAATAAAATGGCACAGTATTTATATAGAACCTACGGGCATCTTCTCACATACTTTACATTGTCTCAAGCTCCTAATCAAATGCAAGTCGATGCCATGCGAGTGTTGTACTGTGTTGTTCAGGGAAGAAAGAGAAAGGTCTGTATAGGTTCTGTGCTGACATGAGATTTTGATTATTATTTTCAACATGTAGTGGGTTGTATCCACATGAGGTGGAACCCAAGGATACAGAGATCTGATCACACGCTTAAGGATTTCATTTTCTTCAAAGCAATTGCCAGTGGTATTGCTTTTAAATTTCTCTTTCTGTGTGGTCACTTCAGTCTGTGACTTGACTGCATGAGAAAGGTCTGACTTGTGTGTCAATCATATGTCTTGCCCCCTGGCTGAATTTAGTTTCAGTTCTATGCTTTTTCTTAATTCTGGTTTTTCATCTATTAAACAAAAAAGGGGGTGGGCTAGCCAGATAGCTCAGCGGACTAAAGCACCTGCTTAGGCATAGTACAACGGCCGGGGTTCAATCCCTGTGCCGTGCCGGCCCCGCCCCCAGGGTGTATTGAGACTGGGCATGGTGGCACATGCCTGTAATCGAAGCACTTGGGAGGCTTCAAACAGGGGAATCACTATGAGTCCAATCTATGTAGTGAGACCCTGGAGACCCTGTAAAAAAAAAAAAAAAAAAAAGAGTTAAGAACCAGATGTTGGCAAGCCACAGGGAAGCCACTACCTGTGTTTCCAGCTAGTATTTTATGAATACCCTACCATTTTTGCAGTGCTTTATCCAAAATATTTTTTTTGCCAACAAGGTTCACCCAGTGGTGGCGAATCCATGGCATGCATGCCGCAGGAGGCTGTTTGTATGGTTGAAAGCTCTAAAAGGTTTGCCATCACTGGCTGTGGTGGTCTCCTGTTGGCACTGCCCCCGGTGAGTGTTCCAGACAACACCCTCCCAATGCAGGGGGCTCTTTGCATTTTCATGCAGTGAAATCCTGGGGAGCAATGAAGTCCATTACTAAGAATTTGCAAAGCATGTTGTATATGCTAAACACATTATATACATTAATTCTGAAAAATGCTTTTGAAAAACTGGAAGCCTATTAGGATTATGAGGGGCATAAAAGCAAGCACGCAACGCCACCCCAACAAGAGCGGCAAAAGTCAGTCACCAGCTTTCAGCTGAGAGCTATTCCTGTTTCATGACAATCTTGTACGTTTCTAATTATTTCTGTATATATATTCAGCACCAAGTCACTTTTGTCTGTCTAGGACTCTTTCCCTGAGGAACACAGTCCCTGGATAATCACTGATAGTAAGAGGATTGGGACCAAGAGCAATCTGCAGGCAGGCAAATTATTCAGACAATTCTGATACACTACTGCATTGTACTCTAGAGTGACTGATAGAATCTGTGTGGGGCTAATCAATGCAACTCTTGAGTTTGATTCTCTTTTTTTTGTGATTCTGAAGATGGAAACCACGGCCTTCACACTGAGCTACATCCTTAGCCCTTTTTACAAAGTTTTATTTTGAGGCAGGGTCTCGCTAAGTCATGACATTGTCCAGCCTGGGCTTAGCCTCTCCGAGCAGTAGATCACAGGTGTGTGTTGCCAGGCTCAGGTGAAATGTTCTGATGATAGGATAGGGGTTCTTTCCTTTCTTCATGCTCTATTCATCTGTGATCGCTTGCCCAATTGTGTCCTGGAATAAATTCTTCAAAGTGAAATTTCTGAGGCCAAAGGAGTAGTCTAAGCCAGGTGTAGTGGTGTATGCCTGTATTCCCAGCACTGAGAAGGCTAAGGCAGTTTGAGACCAGCCTGGGCTACAAAATGAGCTCAAGACCGGCCTGAACTACATAGCAAGACCCTGTTTCAAAAAGACCAAACAGGGGCTTGCTGGTTAGCTCAGTTGTTTAAGGCCCTGCCTGGGCAAACCCAGTCAGGCTTGCGAGACTGCGGTTCAATCCCCACCTCCACTTGCCGCACCACGCCCACCCTTAAGTCAGCCAAAAAGAAAAAGAAATCCTTTTGGGCAGGCCAAATAGCTCAGTGGATTAAAATGCCTGCAAGCAGGTGAGGGGGCCTGTCATAGTGGTTCGATCCCTGGGCATGCTGTGTAGGCCCTGCCCCACGGTGCGTAGAGACGGCAATTGAGACTGGGCGCGGGGGCGCGGGCCTGTAATCCCAGCTCTTGGGAGGCTGTAATCAGGTGGATCACTAGGAGTCTGATCTAGTGCTCGCTTTGGCAGCACATAACTAAAACTGGTACAAGTTCAATCTAATAGTGAGACCCTGAACACCCTCTAGGCCCTTCCCTAAAATACAGAAAAAAAA